TCCCCCCGTCGCGTGTAACCGGCCGAATTCTGATAGTCGTCATTGCCGAGAGGAAAATTGCGCTGTTCTATTGCTTTGTGCGCAAATATACCGACGATTTAGTTCTTGTGCAATTTTGTGATTTGTATTTTTCAACGCGTGGACAACTTACGTTACAATATGCTTGATATGAATTTTCCCCCAACTCTTTATTGGCCCTTGATTTACAGATAATTTATCTTTCTAGAACAAGAGGGGCCATCAATTTTCTGATTAACACTTCCGTCAATATTTTTTCTACAATTTCAGAGATATCGGCAAAAATGTGAGGAGCGGTGTCTCCTCGGAAGGGATATTTCCGCCACCCCTAAAATCCACGGGATTCGTGGGCACTCTACTCGTGCGAAGTTTCAGACTTTCCAATATTTGACAATCGTCGAGCAGGTCTTGATCAGTACACCGGCCGCGATCCAGGCAGGGGAAGTGCGCGATGCCTAGAACACCCTGTATACTTGTAAAGCGGTTTTGGCAACCCGGACTCTCGCTCTCTCCCGAGCTGCGGGTTCCGGCGAAAGAGGTGAACGTATTGTTTACCGACGTTCCATCCCGATGGTTTCATCGCCGAGCGCCGATGTCAGCAGAAATGGCGTTGCAAATAAAGCGAGGGAAGCGGGAACGACCGAGGTCCCGCCGCCGATTCGTTCATCAAAACGCACGCTGCATGTTCGTGTTTCCAAGTGGTGAAACCAGCGGAGCGTTCGCCCCGTCGAGAGATTTATTCGTCTCAATGATAGTACGTTCGATTAGACTTTATCGCTAATTTGCGCTCTGCACTCTCGCTACAGGAGATCCGTCCTTGAACTCTTTGAGTACAACGACATCGAAGATGCAGATTTTGCTCCTCGAGAATTCTCGTAAAGTACCTTTTCGCGACGAACTACGCTGATGGATTCCGCATTAATCGGGCCTCTCTCTCTCTCTCTCTCTCTCTCTCTCTCACTCGTTGTCTCTGTAATTGTTGCTAAAACATTTCTCGCCTCTCGGGAATGGCTCGGCACAGTTGCTTATCTGGTAATCATCGACTACACCCTTCGCGAATTATTTGATTTTTATACACTTACACTTTGAATCATATGAGGTGGTTGCTGAGATATATACTACTTTGGAGTTTTGCAATTTTATATTAAATCATATTGGGAGAGTGAGTTATACTTCAGCCATTTCAAATATATCGCATGCCGCTCTATTTTATTTGCGCTCTTTTGTTTTTACGTTTCACCTTGTGATAAACTGCCAAGTCCATCGTGCGTTAAAATAATCGACCCTCCGGAAAGTGAGCGAAGACAAATTCCAAGGTACAGACAGACACCACCGAAAGCGATCCGCGAGGGGTGCAACTTGCGGTAAATAACTATGCCAAAATTTCCCGAAACTTTAAGACGAAACGCCATGCCGACGAGTCACGCCGACGTTCAATCTGGGCTGCTTTTGATACGGGATCCATTTGTACTGATTTTGCTGGGGAAGGACATCGAGAGAAGAGGTGAAAAAGAAACGTCATGATGGCGTATCCGAAACTGTCAGCTTCGGCATTTATTTTTAAGAAGAAGTATAATAAGTACTTTATGTACATATGTGTGAGATGCAACGAGAATTAAAACATTTCTAACTCTTAAGTCGAATTGGAGATAGACCGCAGACTCGCGTACATCGCATTAAATCGCCAACGGCGAGCCGAAACGTCACCACAGCCGCCATTTGTCAAGTAGACAGCATCGAGAGCATATACACGGAGTATCGTGTGTGCAAAATGTATTAGACCGTTTCTTTTCTCCCTCAGAATGCCGGATCGGCGGTAATTGTGCACGTATGGCACACGTCAGCAATGTGGCGAAGTTCCGGGACACCTTGTACATGATAGTTTTACCTGCCTGACAAATGGCCGTCATCGTCCTCCTCTCCCTTACATCGCATTTTATCCCACGAATTTTCTGCGCGTCAGCGCGGTCTAACATAGTGTACAGAAGTCCGCGGGGTAGACCGACCACGGTAAATTGCCCGATACAATCCAATACGACAAAACAATAACATATCATCATATGTCACCTGATATCGCTAGCGTGCTTCTCACGTCCACAATGTTATGGCGCGTATTTGCAAACATCGTATCGCATAATCTTTTCGAATCCGTCCGGTGTTTATCAAACGTCCGTGTGATAACACGGTTCAACGTTCACAAATGTAACGTAATGCTGAGAGTATTAATACGACGTTCGTCGCTCTGCGGGATCTCTCAATCACGAAAATGACGCTACGATCGAATGCAAAGCTCCGGCGAAGTGTCTTGCTCTCTCGCGAGAAAAATAATATTTGTAAACGCAGTCGAAATCCGCCTCTCTCTCTCTCTCTCTCTCTCTCTCCCTGTGCCACGATTATCGCGATCGACGCTAGCCGCCGCGCATTTTCTACGCATGCACAGAACAGCGTCGCTAGAAATTATAGCGTTCACAGCGAGTTCCTCCCCCGAGGAACGAGGCTCCTCCGCGGCTTCAATGAAGAACGAAGGAAAGGAATCAAAGGATTCGATACACGTTACGTTTTGGAAATTACTAGAACTATTTTACACTTAGAACGCCGATGCTAAAGTTGCCGACAACATGTATGAAGATTCCTAACAGTTTATCATTACATGGTCAAAAGAGTGGACACGCTATTCCCCCTACGCGAAAACCATACGGAGTAATGCCGACAATGCGAAACGGAAAATCGAGAAGGAATATTTTCTTCTTTTCTTTTCTTTTCTTCTCTTTTACACGTAAGAAGCGTGTTGTCGCAAATGTATCTCTCGTAAATATATATATATATATATATATATGCAAGTTGATCACAGGATATTCAAGATGGAGTTTTGAAATAATATACATGTTAGAGTACACATCTTTCCAGAATATATTTATACATGTATACTTCGTGTCATCAAACTCGAAATTTCGTTCGTTCCTCAAGTGATATTCATCTTTCAACCGACCTCGAACGCGCAGTGCCTTCCCGCAGTGTATCTAACTTAAAATTATCGAAATATATTTTATTATTTTATCCGTCATCGCGCACACACGGCCCTCCGCATTACGAGAGAGACCGTACGTTCTAGAATTAATAGAAATAACGCCTATGGTCACATTTGCCATGTTGGCCACAGCCTGCGGTTATAGCTTTGTTTATAAACCTCCGACGATAAGACCTGCACAACTCGAGTCGCAAATCGAGCTGCAGCCAAACGTTCGCCTCGTTCGTCGCCTAATGCATATACATTACGTCCATCAAGCGCGGAAGCTTTCACGAACGCGACCAAGTTGTAATCAAAACGTAACGAAGAGCGCAACGGAAAATGTACAAAAGCACAAATCCCAAGAAATGATATGTAAATCTACGCTCAGTGTCTCTCCGTACCGCTCTCTCTCTCTCTCTCTCTCTCTCTCTCTCTCTCTCTCTCTCTCTCTCTCTCCCCCCCCCTCTCTCCCCCCCTCTCTCTCTCCCTCTCTCTTTTTTCTTCCCTTCTTTCCTCACATAATATAGAAATTAATAGAAATTAACTTATCATATTTCGCTACGAATAATTTGGCACAACAAGTTCATTTACAACGAAATACTTTTGCAAATAACGGAGTCTGACATGGCGCACACACCGTAATTTCGGTTAGTTCAGATATCGATACGAGGCACATAAAAGTCATATGCCGATTCTCGTATTCACTTGTGACAGGGTAAACATTAGAATCATCGCCGCAAAGTACATTTGGCGTTACCTTCGAATGCAAGAAAAATGTTGAAATGTTCTGTGTGTCTCTTTTTTTCTTTAGGTCGCTAACTTTGCATACAGCTTCGTATTTATTACATATACTTTCTAGAAGCATTTTCTGAAAGAACGCATCGTGTCGTAGGCTGTCGTACATAGTGACTACTTGCAATGGTGGATTTTGACATTTTGAAGTTCCTTAGGCAAGATATGATATGAAGTTCTCTCTCACTCTCTCATTCCTTCTCTAAAAATTCAAAGTACAATTTCTCTTTTCTTTCTTGGAAGTGGAAATTATGTGTCTGTTGCTGGTCCACTGATGTAACGAGAGAAAAGCAAATATATTGTCTTTTTACACATTTGTCCTACTTTTTATGAAAAAATAGTCACATAAATATTACACATATATATCTCATACAAATATAAATATATAAACTTCTAAACGAAAAAACTTTAAACATATAAATAGAAATATGTATAGAATCACACACACACATATATATATATATATATATATGTGTATGTGTGCAAGATGTCCTACATTTTAATTGCACACCTCAAATATCTCGAGAGCTGCGTTTCCGACAAAAATATTTCGAATGAATGTTGTTCGGTTTTGAGATTTTACTTAATTTAACTTTATTTGTATGAAGAACACACACTATTCTCTATTCAAAAGATTCTAAGTGGCTTGACTTGACTTTAGCGGAAAGTTTTTACTTGAAACATTTTTTGTAACATGTCAAGTTTATGAGACATACAAAACTGTTTGCGTGTTAAATTAGGACAACCTGCACACACAGAATGTTCTAAACCGCCACACAATATTGTAATAACGTATTTTAGAGCTTAATTGAAGTCGAAAGTTCTAATTCAGAAAGCTTCAGGCATCAAAGCTTTCCAAGTTATAAATTATTGGAAAAGAAATAGTCTTCTCGCGAAACAAACTTCAGAAAGCCAGATGAGCAATATAACAATTTGGTTTCTAGAATACACGATGTTAAAATCTGGGAAATTGCAATCAATAATAAACTTTCTCGACACTTTCGCATTAAAATTTTCCACTCCAATTAAACTGTAAAATATACGTTATTAAAGTATTCTACGATAAGTTTGAGACATTCTGTTAGCAATTAAAAAGTCTTTTAATATATCAATAGTAAAAAGGCAAATTATCGTATTAAAAGTGAAAGCAAATATAAAACCTAAAATTTACATTACATTATATAAAAATTTATTCTGGTCGTTTGCGAGATCCTCTCAGAGAAACGTCTTAAGCCCATCTTATGTAGTGCAAAGTCCGTTAAGACGTGAAACGCCACTAATAATTCAATCAAACACTAAACACATTTCTATTCGCAGCATGAGAAAATAATGCCCTCTGAAATTATCAATCTCTCTAACTAACAAAAAATTTTTCGTAAATTTTCTTGTATTTTTCTCCTTTTACATTTTGATGAAGAACATGTGCACAATTCGATGTCGTATGGTTTTATACAAGATTTCCTGGCGACAGGAAGGAGGATCGATGGAAAGTGATAAAAATGAAAAGGCACTGGCAAATGACATGCATAAATAATACAATTCAAATTTAAAATTTAACTATATGCTGAAGACAGAAATCGAAGCTAACTTTTGACAATTTCATTTAATATGGAATAAAGTTTTAGTTTCTTCTTCTAGTTTCATATAATGTGTCAACTGCTAATTGTCATTTACTGAATGATCGTCATCTGTGCTCCTTGTAACATACGAATATAATTATGACATACATCAGTATCCAGACACGATGCATTGGATCGAAAATTTATCTATCCGGTGGATATTAACGAGTTCATGACGCACTTTCCCATATCTGTTGGATCGAACAGAAAGTTGGACGTACCGAAACCACATAACAAGGTTTCAATTTCCGATAAATAGAACGCGCGCGTGTACCAAGTGTTATTCCTCGACACGCATAGCCATTCGGATGTATATAAATAAAATCCCAAGCGATTTTAGACAGGACGGTTTGAAACACGATCGGAATCTTGCTCGAGTAATCGCTGAGATCAAGTGGGACAAATAGACGGGAAATGGGTCTACTGCGTCGCGAATGAAACCGGAGAATCAAATTTGATCGCGAGACTGCGCGAGACTGCGAGACTGCGCGGGGGAGTAACAGAAAATATCGCGTTAAGTAATGGCGGAAATTTTCTTCAGGATCAAGTTGCAATTCGGAAGCTTCTTTTTCAATACGTACGTAAAATCAGATACTCGACTCGCGGACTGAGCGGACGCCAGAAATTGTGTATTAGCATGCAGAATTTTGCTTTATTTCGTCGTGCGGTAGCGTTCATAATTTTCAAACAGAATTCGCCTGACGACTCACGTCGCCGGTTAACACTCTGACGTCTCAATTACGTAGTCCAAAGTCTCGCCACCAATCGCAACGATTGCTTATTCCTTGTTCAATCCACGCCACAAGTTACGCGCGCGCGCGAATGCTAATCCATGTTAAAAATTGCGCGATCTATCTACGCAACTTGAGAAACAACTCTCAAGATCCCGAGCGGCTTCAACCCTCGTCTGAAACCTCGCCACTCACACGGTGATACCGAGCGCCCGCACGCGTATCTATTTCTAATCGTGTTATTAATAACTAAACCGTAACTATATAAAACCATTTGCTAAAAATTACATAACAAACAGGACACGGAGATTCCTTAATACTACGTCACTTAACGTAAGCTTTTCTCTCGGAGCTTTGCACTCCGCTCCGGCGACCTCTTTGTCCCTTGTTCCGCCCGTTCGACAATGTTCGACCAAATCGCCTAACACATATACGCTAAAGTCGATTCATCTAGATACCTTTAACCTATTGATACTTCAGTTACGCGAGATAACCGCTTACATGTTCTCGTCAAGGTCAGCTCGACAGCCGAGCTCTCGGCGTGTCACAGCCCGAAAAGAAAAGAACCAAAAAGAACTGCGACATATAAATCGGGAAATTGAGCGTTATATACACGTGTAGCTTAGAGTGTGCTTAGGGCTTAAGTCTCGACTGAGAAACTGCTTCTCGCAATCCCGCCGATTCTTCGCGATCCGTGGTCAAGCTGCAAACAACCGAACAATCGACCGTTCAAACACATATTGCATATTATGCGACATTATGCGATACGCTTTCGAGCGAATCTCGAATCGTCTATCTATTTTTGCGTACAGAGAGAGTTTTATTTATAGTTTCGCGCGCGCGCGTGTGTGTGTGTGTGTGTGTGTGTGTGTGTGTGATGGTAAGTATAACTGTTTGAAAAAAATCATGCACTACGCGGGTCGCGTAATTTTAGCCTGTGTAATTATGCGCGACATTTTACAACTCCGACGTCAGAATTATGCGCAAAGGTATAAGGGCTTCTCGTCCTCGATATATAATGCCGGGAATGTCCAACGAAATAAGTTCAAGCTCAGTAACTCAGATTTACATGGACTCGAGATTATAATCCTCTGCAAATCCGCGCGCGAGAAATACAATCCGCTTTATTTTCGTCTTAGCCTCTCGCGGCTGAATTTTCGATACAAGACGCGGTCGCTCCGAGCAAAAGGGTGCGAACCTTGAAAATAATGTGTATTCCGGGTATAAGCGATATTAAAAGGAATTTTGTCGGAAAGTTTGTACGATGTCTCTTGAATTCACGCTGAGGACATAAATAAATCCGTCGAGTCAAACTTTCGTTTTCACGTCCAACTTCGTTCCCCCATTTGCTCAAACTGTTTGAATCGGTCGGTACGTATCAGTGGCATGACAGTCTGTCACGTGTGCTCTTCGTAGTCGACGTAGTCAAATTGCGATCTACGCGTTTTGCTCGGCACTGACGTTAAGTTCTATAGAAAAATAATACTACGTGGGAATTTGCGACTGAAACACCCTCCGCCACTCTTGGGTATTATCATGCACTTCCAGATACACGCGCGCGTCGTGAAAGGCTTCACATGCACATTTTAGAAACATAGTCAATATTTCAAGGTCAACGTGTATATCACTGTTGGTTACGCAACGCGGTTTCATGTAATCTTTACGCGTAGCCAGATATATGAAATATTTTTATCCACCTAGACGATATAAGCGCACGAACGTCACACTGCACACGAGAACAGTCCGCGTTCGTCGTGACACATTAAGGCCGGTGCAGAAGCTTCGTCGTGTTTTTTGTCAAGTGAAATAAAGGAAGAAAACAAAATTCCACGGATTAATGTTTACGAATAAAATGAGCAACATCGACTCGGTATCTCGTCGAACGTCTAACGGTGACTCCCTGCTGTTTTCACCCGTCGCTTAACGTCGCCAAGAATTTTACTCGCCAAAACTTTACGAAAATTTCATACCAAAAAATGCCTTCAAGTCGAATAAAATGTGCTTACGCAATTTAATAAGATTTCATCGAAAACTTCCACCGAATTACCAATTGTCGTCACTCACCAATGGAGAATCCACTGATCAACCGGCAATGGAAGATTCTTCAAGTCCAACAAGCGCCTCCTCGGCGCTGTCGATGTCACAGGTAGACTTCGGGGCTCGCAGGTGCCGGTTGGTGTTGCTGTTGCTGCTGCTGCTGCGGGTGTGGCTGCTGGGTCTGCTGGGTCCGGTGTTGCTGCTGCTGCTGCTGCTGTTGCTGCTGCTGCTGCTGCTGCTGCTGCTGCTGCTGCTGCTGCTGCTGCTGCGACGTCTGTTGTTGGTGATGGCTCTGACTGTGATTGTGATGGTGACTCTGCTGCGTCCTCAGCATCTCGTACCGCTGCTTGTAAAGATCGCACTCCTGCTGCAGCCGCGACAGCTCGACCTTCGTGCGTTGCAGCTCGTTCTGCAGATTCCGGTTGGTGGTTTCGAGGTCGTGGCGTTGCTGCAGCCGCTTGCTGCGGCAATTCTGCGCGTAACCGCGATTCTTCAGCGTCCGCCGCTTTTGCTTCAGCCTCACAACCTTAGCACACGACGACGAGGGGCTTTTATCCGAGCATAATCTCAGCCGAGGGCTGCTGACGACACATGTTTTCAACACGTCGACAACGAGCGCGTCGACAGCGTGCAATGATGTTTCGTCGAGGAAGTAACGAGCGACGCCCGCTGAGGGCCACTAAACGGACACACCGAACTCTCTCTCTCTCTCTCTCTCTCTCTCTCTCTCTCTCTCCCTCTCTCTCTTCTCTCGACGAGGACTCGACTTTGGCGCGCACTGTTTTGCCAGACTTTCGCCGACATGCAGCTAGTGGACGGATTATTATCGCGTCGCGCCCACTTCTCGTCGCTTTTCGTGTTGAGACCCGAAATTGCAAATTTCGTTCGACTCGAGTGGGCCGCACCAAGCGCGAAGCGACGCTTGTTATCGCTTGTCTTGTCTCTGTCACCTTTGTCTTTTTATTTAGAAACAGTCTACCGTCGTTATACACATAACAAAAAAAATATATACCCTGACAAATCTCTTCGGCCTCGAAGAAAATTGCACGAATTGATCGAAATCGCCTTTCTTCTCGCTCGCCAAGCGCCGGAATCGGCTGATCGTTTTGCACCGAACTCGAAAGACAAAATCTCTCTCTCTCTCTCTCTCTCTCTCTCTCGGAGAGCAGCTTGATCAGTTGTACAAAACAAGAAAAAGATAAGCACTCCTCGTCGAGAAAAGCACTTCGTCGTCACTCAAGAGCGTAATTTCCGCAGCGTGGCGAGCGAGGGCGCCCTTTTTTACGCGCGCCATCCTGCCAGGATGAAACATCATTGCACGAGTTTTCATTCAGCGGCCAGTCAGCGCCGAGAAAACCGCGCGCGAGGGTAAACGCGGCGTCGGAAGAGAAAGGATTCGACTCACCTCCTCCCGCGGGCAGCCGTGGAGGCGTTTGTTGAGTTCGCGCACCGACAGCGACATTAGGAGCTCGTCATTCATCAGCTCCTCCTGAGCATTCGAGCCGTTGCAGTTGGAGTAGAGACCGTTGCCGGCTCGGTGAGCCGGGCTGGGCCCGCCGGCGCCGCAGGAGCTCACCGAGCACACGCTCAAGGGCCTGCCCGGCTGCAAGGACATGCCCTGCATGCTGTCCTCTATCCCCTGCAGCACACCCCCGCCGGCGGGAAGCATCCCGCTCCCTGTGCCAGGACCACCGTAGTAATCGAGGTGACTCGACATCGTCAAGTAGCCTGCAACGAGGAATTAAGATCGCTCTGGAATCGTCCTCGGACACCACGAATTCGCCCGTTCAAACGCGCGAGACTATCATCATCATCATAGCGGCCAGTCTGCATACCGCAATCATACCGAGCCTTTAGGGTAGATCACAGCTGGATCTTTCGATATTCCGACTCGCTTACCGGAATTTAAGCTTGTTTGCTGGGGTTTTAGATTCCAGACGCGTAGAGTATGTCGAGGAAAACTCAAACGAGCGTCACATGACGTACACTTCGCGTACGAAAACGTAATCGGGAAGCGTGAGGCAGCAAACAAGCGATCGACCTGATGATCAAGCGGCCAAATCTTTTCGAAGTAACGAGTCGAAATAACCCCGGTCTCGGGGTGAGGTTCTCTCGAGTACAATTGAACGGTACGCTTACAGCTCGATGATAAGGCCTTCGGTCTCTCTGGTCCGAAGAACCAGTGTCCAGTTTCCGGAATTTAGGAGGAGACACACAGGTGGAGCACTCGCGGGACTTGGTGCGGGAGAGAGCAAGGAGAGACAGGTACCCCCCCCCCCGCCCCGGCGGGAGGTAGGGAACAACACGGAGGAAGGGAAAGGGGACTGGACGACAAGAGCCAAGGCCAAGACGCGAGCACACTTACCCGCGTGTCTGGTAGGTCGCGGCAGGTGCTGCAACTCCTGGAAATGATGGTGCGCCGACGTGGTCGACCAAGGCTCGTGGTGCGGCTCCGGGGTTTGCTCCTGAGGGCAATGGGGCCTCAGGTCCAGCGGTTCCTGCCGCAACGACTGCGTGAGCCAGCCCATGCCGCCCGCGCTGACCTGTATCTCCTCCTGCACCAGCGCCGGCGGTTGCTGCAACTGCAGCAGGATGCCGCCGCGGTCGCGGCCATCGCGCGGCTCCCGCAGCTCGCGGTCGCCGCGATGCAGCTGCAGCGGCGGCGGCGGTGAGGCCGAGACCGGCGGAGTGTCCGGCGGCGTGCCCGGGTGCGACAGCGTGGTGAGATGCGCCGCGGTGCCAGGCGGTGCCTTCACCAGGACGCCGTGCTGCACCTGAATGTGCGGCTGCCCGTACAGCGGATGGGGCTGCTCCAGCTCGTGCGCAGGCGGCGTCAACGGCGCCAAGGTCAAGCCCTGCGGCTGCACCGGTCCCGAAAGTTGCACCACGCTACCGTTCACCATCACGGTCGGCGAGCCCATTCGCACCTGCAACGCGCGACAGCCGTTCGCGTCGCTGATGAGTGGCTCGTTGCTCGTGTGGCCTTTCGACCCAAGTAGCAAGTGATGTCTCTAACGTCAGTAAGACATCATTTAACGCCACCTTGCTACGTACGAGGACGCGCGAAGATGGAACACTTGAGGAAGAATTCGGGCCGCTTTCACCATCCTCGGTTTCATTTAATCACGACCGATTATGCCGTTCGGATCGACCGGAATCGACCAATCACGCTTGACCGAGGATGGTGAGATTAGCTCTTGGATGCATGCTTCGTGCCGTGTTAGCAACACACACTTGTTATTGTTCTAAGCGTATCGAACTGAACGGAAAGATTCCGCATCGTTTCCACACACGTGGCGCCTTTGTTGTCTCAAAGATGAATAAAGGAAAATTGATCGCAAAATGAGCGCAAAATGATGCAATGGGGCGAACTGAAGTCTGCTGGAGGCGAAGAGAGTCTGCAGGGCAGTTTGAAGAGATATGTCTCGCTGGGATATCTTGCTGACTGTTTCACGGCAGGGATGAATATCAATTGCTTGGCAGAACAACGTTGTCGACGAAGCGAGTGTGCGACGCTGAGCCGCACCGTTGCCAGATAATCAAGAAACAAATCCAAGACGTGTTCCTTCAAACTATCCTAAAGTCTCATTCTACCGCATCACGTGACATTTGTAATGAATCTCTGTCGATTTAACCAGGCGTCAAGTCTCTGTTATATTCATGCAGACTATATATGTGTTATTGATTAAATTAAAAAAAAATGACGATCCAAGTGTGAATTTTCCCATAGATGTGGCTGTCAAACTGTGTGTGTGTGTGTGTGTATGTGTGTGTGTGTGTGTGTGTGTGTGTGTGTGTGTGTGTGTGTGTGTGTGTGTGTGTGTGTGTGTGTGTGTGCCAATTGGCGTAAGGCCAATCTGAGAATGTAAAGTGCTGTCAGATGAAAAATTCGAATATCTGAAAGTACATGGACGAAAGTGTGTCGAGTGTTTTCTGCAAATGTATTAAAATTATGCAGCAGACAGCGAGAGAAAGCCATGATAAAACCAAATATCTGCCACGTCTTTCTAACACGTAAAAGTTCAAATTCGCTCGATTACTTGCGAGAGCAAGTAATCATTTTCTCTGCCTTTTCCTCTTCGACACCGTCGAGCCGCGAATGAATAAGTATATTTTCGTGCAAACAGACTGTACAATTATTCAAAGTATGATTCTGTACCGTCGACAACTATCACCGTAAAAAAATAACGGAAAATGGATATAATTGAGAAGCTACAATTTTTCGTGCACGTGAACCGTTGTATTAAAAAATAAATGAAACGCCGTTCTGTGTGCCGAGGATGGAATGTACAATCCCGCCTAATTTGAAGCCCAAATTTCCGAAAGACTAAAAAGAGCCGTCACCTGCTGGCGAAACGCAAAATTGCGATTTTCCAGCTAGTTTATATACGACAGATAACGGCGCACGTTTCACTCAAGCGCAGCGCGTACAGTGCGCAGTGCGCACTGTGAATGATAACACAACACACAGCGCACACAGCCACACGCACAATATACGTTACATATTTTTCCGCTCTTTTTTAGGACAACATTATTCGGTGATGAGGGAATTATACAGCATGCCTCTGACGTACCCAGCGGTATGTTTGGCAAACGTAACAGATATAAAGTTGACAGTTCAACAACAGTTGACGCGAGAGAAAATAATTGATTCATTTCGCTCGAATTCGTTTGAGTACGGGAACAAGCTAACTTTTTAAACGAAACATCATTTCGTTTCGGCGAGTCGAACCACGTTGGAACTTCATTGAAAAAGTCTTAAAATCGTCTCGACAATGATCTATTCTCCAAAACTGTCCACAACTTTCGGACACTTTTCACAAAACTCTTCCCTCTTACTCACTTGCGACCCGAGTCTGATTCACTTCACTTCATTCCGGAAAGAAAAGCAAAGAAGAAAACACTTGACTCGAAGTAATCTGATGAATAAGAAGAAGAAACAAGTAGATTATTTTATCCGGAGCAAATTTTCGCATGCGTGTGTATAGTATGCGTACAATTACGTTGGGGAGAATTACAAAAGCAGTACATGAAATTAAGCGCTACATGTGCCGAAAAATCCCACTTCTAACGTATTATTCTCCAACGGCGGATTCTCCGTATACAATTCGCGGTCTAAATCCTCAGAACGACGAGTGTCGAGGCGAGCCGTCGTTCGTTGGAACAATAAATGCGTATCTTCTCACAGATGACTCGCTTCGGGAGAAAATCCACTTCGGAATTCGGCGGAGAATCGTTCGTCGGAAAAGAATCGCGCGGTTGAAAGCGGGCCATATCTCGTGTATTTACATACAACTCTCGAGAATACGCTCGCTGGGGGCGCTCCCAGGCTCTCTCACCTCTCGCTTGACGTCGGCGGGGTCCAGATGATCGAGGACAAACTCCTGCACATACTCCCTCGCCAAATGGTCCTCCGCTTCCATCTTAACCTCGTCGACCTCTACCTCCACCTCCTCTACCGTGTTCGTCGCGCCTGCATACGGAAGCGTCTTCTGATCGCCACCGCCGTCACCGCCGCCGCCGCCGCCGCCGCCGCCGCCACCACCGCCACCACCGCCGCCGCCACCACCGTCGCCTCCGCCTCCGCCACCCGGACAACTCGTCACCGTCGTTTGTTGCGTCGTGACCACCTTCCCGGCCAAATATCTCGTCGAGGGGAAAGCTAGACGGACGACGTGTCCGGGTAATGATTCGCCTCGCCACGTGAACGACGAACTCGTGATTCCGTGCGCCGATGTAAGATCCGCCGCGACCCCACGACAGATCGCGACGGCCGACGCGAAGGGCCTTGACTTGAACCCTAGCTAGCGGAAGAGTCACCGGCTGCGAAACGAAGTCACCGGATCACACCGTATCTCGATTCCCCGTTAGTACATGTTAACCTCGGCGCCTGTCGCCAGGGAGCGACTTCTTGGGCTTACTCTAGGGTCTCGGTGCAGCTTCTTCAGCTACTTTCACGCTTTACTCCTTCAGCTTCGCTCGCGATCGGAATATCGAATTGCCGTGGTTACAAAGAGTCTGGTACAGACCGTCCAACGAGCACCCCCGTTCGACATCCGCAGTCGCGCGGGCTCAAAGCACGAGGGTTCAAAGCACTCGGCGGCGGACACTTCGTCGGGCGGACGCGGGGTGATGCTGCGGGAACACTTGCTCCTCGTGATTCGACCGAAGAGACCGTATGTGGAAGCCCGCGTTTCTTCCCTCGAAACGAAACGCAGGGACAGAGATACGAAGAGCGACACTCTGTTGGAGGTCTTCAGCGTGCGCGGGCATTAAGCGGAATTTAACGGCACTTCCTTCGTGCGAGAAACGCGAGGGAAAGAAGAACAGCGCAATCAGGAGCGCTGGAGGGTGGCTCCTGAATACATCTACTTTACGATCACCATCGGACACTGGCACATATCGATCTTTTCACGGTAATCCCGCGCACAGACGGGCATCAATATGCACTCGCGATTCCGCACCAACACACATGAACACTTTTCCCACCACTGTGATTAGTCTCCCCGCAGCTGTCGTGCTCGACTTGCGCTCGGCTTGGGGATCCTGTTTATCTCCCTTAACTGCCGAGAAGACGACGCGATCAGGAGGAGCGAGACGGACCAGTCTCACGATTAATGAGGCATATCTCGTCGTAGGTCCAAACTCCACTGACTTCACCCCTCAGACCCCCGAATCAATTCGCATTCGGATCGAACGCAGTTCCGTCGATCGCGCACCCCGGCACCGCAATGTTTTCTTTTTCCCGGGCCTCCTCGCGTTCTCTCTCTCTCTCTCTCCGCGAGATCTCCTAAGGTCGAAAGCGCAAATCGGCGGGCGAATAGAACGAGAAAGAAGAGAAGAGAGAAACGGCGCGAGAAAGGATGAGACACTGCGATAGCGGGAGAAGGGTTGGAAGGAGAGAGAGAGAGAAAGAGAAAGAGAGAAAAAGAGAGAGGTGGAGAGAGAGAGAGAGAGAGAGAGAGAGAGAGAGAGAGAGAGAGAGAGAGAGAGAGAGAGAGAGAGAAAGAGAGAGGTGGAGAAAGAGAGAGAAAGAGAGAGAGAGAGAGAGAGAGAGAGAGAGAGAGAGAGAGAGAGAGAGAGAGAGAGAGAGAGAGAGAGAGAGAGAGAGAGAGAAGGGAAAAGAGAAAACGAGCGCGCCAAAGAGAAGGAGAAAAAGAGATCGCGTGTCGGACAGCAGTGGATACGCCGCCTGAGTGGTGACTGGTCGGCCGTATGCCGAGAGTGAGCTTTCGTGCTTTCGCGCGCAGGACAGCTACATGACGTCACACGTGGTAGGCGTGGCCGCGAACTATTTGGTCTCCCCGACTCGCTCGGCAATTGGCGCATCCCGCACCGCGCCGCCATTTGCACACTCCTCCCACTTGACCCCCCCTTCCTCCCACCACCCATTCCAATTCACAATGACCCGACATAATACCCCCTTCCTCGGCGCATCGCATCGGATCCGGTCACTCGAGGTAGCACACACATTAATTTCTAAAGTGATTATTATAATTTTTCAACGAGGGCGCGATTGCGCGAATTCTAGTCTCTCACCCGCCTCTGAACCCTCCTCGCCCCTCACGCGCCGACGTAAACGTGTTCCGCCTGTGTTACGGTTCCGGCTAAGCCGACTTCCCTCCTCCGCCACTTACGGGACACCCGTATAGCGATTTTTCTCTTCTTCCCTTGTAGATTTCAATTTACCGGCGGTCGGTACCAGTGACCTTTTATCTGGCAACCGCGATCTCGATTCGGACAGGCCGCGATTTTCCGCGCAGGCCTGGGCTCTGAAGAGAGGGCGGAGGCGGTTCACAGAATGTCACGTCTGTGATGCGACATCCGTGCCAGGGTGGAGGAAAAGGAGGTGGAGGTGGGGGCGGAGGAGGTGGCGGAGGAAGAGGAGGAGGGAGAGGAGGGAGAGCAAAGCGCAAGGGAGATAAATGGGGACCGGAACGGGTGTCAGATTACTGTCGCGCCCAGTTAACGAGATATCGCTTTGCGTGTCTGAGATTCTATACGCTTGGAAGAAAGCATCCTTGATACACCGTTGATTTAGAGGATAAACGAGACACAAATTCCAACGCAATCGAAAACTGTACGAGCAAAATCCGAAGTAAAAATCCGTTCAGGTCTAAAATTCCAACTCGCCGACGAAAGATGAGATCAATTTTGAGACGGACGATAATCATGATTATATGAATAAACACCCAATTTCTCTCTCTGCAGTAAATTTTTTCAGTAACCACGTCTTCGGGGTAATTTCTTTTCTTCTCCTTTTCCGCCATAATACGGGTATACAAGATCCCCGGACTCGAATGTGACAACGTACAAGCAGAACTTACGGAATTGAACAGAAAAGACCTCTGCCATTTTGCACACAATCGTCACAATGTTCAAGATATTAATTAAGAAACATTGACGAATCAATGCGCGCGATGCAGTGACAGCGTCTACCGTAGGGCAGCCTGAAGATATGTCTTGGGCTTATTTACCGTTCCCAAGCAACGATGAATATCGGATGACAGCGAAAGACGGAGCCTAAGAGCCCTCACGCACACATACATACACACGCGCAAGCGCGCGCGCAATTGCCGTAACTGTAACATAAGACGCAAACTTAAGCTGAAGAACCAATGAGGATATCGCATTAGATGTGTGCACTCCAGAGGAAAATAGAAGTGACCGTAAATCTGAGTCGCAAGCAGAAGTAACTAGATTTACCGTCACTTCTATCTTCTCCTCTAGCAGGCACACGTCTGATGCGATATCCTGAATGGCCTATCGACTTAAGTTTACGCCTTAGATTACAGTTACAGTAGCAATTCGTATGTGAAGGTCCTAACGCCGCATCACACGCGTGTTTTTAAGCCACACACGTTCTATGTTCGTCGCGCTGCTGAGAGATCGGAATACGTGTCCAAGGCACGTCTCTTCAGACTGCCTTACAAAACTCAGCCCACGGCATCGCGAGCACTGATTCGCCAATTTTTGTGTCGCGACTAATGTATCTGGAAAATTATGGTTGTTTGCAAATTGGGAGAGGTCTCTTCTTCTGTTCTTTTCTGTTCGAAGTCCGAAGAGTTCGGCCTGCACTCAAGTCCAGACACCCTACATGTTCCATTAAAGACGCAGCATCACTCTCGCTCATTCAAGCCTCTTTCCTCTTATTACCCTCGATCATTTCCGTTAAAGTTGATGTCTCTTCTTCGAATTCGACCACGTACTCGTCCGAAACGTTTTCTTATTTCTCGAGCAATTCATCCGGGCATTGTTGCATGTCACTGCATCGATTTTGGAGTTGGATCGGCAGACAATAATTGTCTGTTTGATAGAATCCTTATGCTTCACACACACACACACACACATTTGCTATATTCCACATATTGGAAAATGACTCCTATGACTGATTTGAATTAAAGTCGGTAACTGGGAGAATTTCTTTGAGACATCTCGCATAAGATGAAGAAGTACACACAGATATATTTCGCCAGCTTCCCTTCGAGTGACGCGACTCTAATTTGCGTTGGCTGTGAAGCGGCATTACTCTTCGATCGGCGAAGAAACTCAAGCTCCGTGAGAGTTTATGCGAAACGGCGGCGAATCACGAACTTTCATCTAAATAGGTTCCCGCACACGTCTACCAGTCTACCCTCCTACTTAGCAGCTCATATTACACTCCGTGCTGACTTTTGGGATGCCATGACTTTAAAATCTTACATGAGTTTTCAATTTTCTCCCTTCTCGCGACCGACTTCCTAATACCTGGCATAATTCTCTGTGCAGTGCGCGAGAGTGAAAAGATTTCAACCGGCACAAGGATGTTTGGTATCTTTTTATCTGTCTTCCAATCAGAAATACGGATAACAAGCGATACTCTTATTGATAGATCGAGCCAAAATTATTCGCATGGACAATTATGCTTAGGGAACAGTCAAGATCGTAAGATATCCAGCGTTAGTCGAGTTGAAGTTCAGTACATCGGCTCAACTTATCAAACGAGTCACTAAAACTTCGCAAGGTATTGGTGTACAGATATGCGAAGATTAACACCACCAATTCAATCCTTTCATCTCATCTTACGTATAAAAATATTAGGACAGTCACCGAAAAACAAATCCTTTACGGAATGTTGCATTCGACTTCACGTCGAAGAATTACACGATAAAATGAGAAATATCTTGACAAGTATTCACTTTCCAATAATTTCTCCTCACCTCGTTGCTTTTGTGGCACAAAATACCCGTGTACCCGGATTAACCCTTCAAGATGGTCTTGATGTGGATATAAAGGCCTAAGAAAGCGGGACGTACCAGATCTGAGATCGGAATGATACAAACTGATCGCGCAGTTCTCTTCGGCCATTAAAGCACAATAATCAAAAGTATATAACTGACATGTTGGACTTTGATTTATCTGCAATTTTACTAGACATCGCACAAAGTACTGGAACTTCCCCCGACGAGGCAAGTTCTTGTCAGTTGAAACGGTGAGAGTCG